TCAATCACCACGGTACAGCGCAACGTCGGGTTGTGAATAGAAGAGACAGCCGACAAAGGGTGGTCAGTCAGTTTCGGGACGATGTGCAGGGCTAAGAACTTTTCATCACAAGAAAGTCCTACGTTATGAAACCTCGGAATTGAATATCTTCAGGATATTTCAGATAGCAGTAGTCTAATTTAAGGCACTGTTCTGTAACTTGTCTAGAGGGACTGAGGAAACCACGAAAACCTTTTCAGCATAGGCGGTCTGTTGGCCGGCACTTGAATCCGGGACCTTCCGAATACGAAGCAGGGGTGGTAACAACTCTGCGCAATGTTCTGTACAGAGAACTTCATTGCGAGGGCCGTTAATAATATAACTAGAAATAAATTGCAGTCTGAGATTTACCACACAACTTTGCACATACAAACTAAGTCTTTTAACCAACATTTACTGTCTAAATTCATTTATGTATACTTTTAATAAACCATCTCAGATACTTCGAGAGAAAGGAGAATTAAAACTGTCTCACCCTTTCTTTGATACTACCTTGTTGGGCACTTAAAACTGCCAATATATTAATTTATAATTCATTTCAAGTGCAGTGGGCGCAAAATAACACTGGGCTTCGTTGACCTTTACAAATACGCACTTGGAGGGAGGGGAGGACCGCGAGGTGACAGCACATACTGCGAGATAACCCGGCCTTTCTTTGTATAATCAGACGTCAAATTATTACTTTTAGGCTATAGAAGCAGCACGTGCGTGTTAAGGCGTGTTCTTGCATTGCTAGTGTTTTATAATTCCATAGGTTCACAAAATACAGTGCGGTGTAAAGGCCAGTGTACAAAAATATTATCTTCTAAGTCGAAATTACAAAGGGAAAATGTTTTCAGATATTCTATACATCCTCAGCAAACTCTTCACCGTCTTGCCAACCCCTTGACATTTTCATCTTCCCCTCCCCTCTTACTGTGACGTAGCTCAAGCTCGGAGTTATTTTGCGCCACTGCAAAGAATTTAAATACCGGTACAGATGTTCTGTAGAGTCTCGTCATGGGAGTTCATTTAAACAGGTGGACGTTTTGAAGGGCCAATTCTGCCTCCGTTGTATTCACATATTAAAATATATATTAATAGTAGTTTTCTATGTTGGCATGTTTAATAATTGTCCAATTCTGATAAAACAGATCCCTCAACATTGCTTTCCTCAATGTGTCACACATATCGTTTGTTACATCTGTATAATCTGTTAATGTATGTAAGGTTGTTTCAACACAGCACTGACACACCTGTGTACACTGCTGCCAACAGATCAACAGTTAATAACCGGTTTTTGTCGTACATTCTACCTTTAACATCCAGTCCGAAACCTGACTTATAAATGGAACTTGACTTAGGGGCGACAGAAATGCTATCATGCTGCTCTACCGACTTCATCCTTTCGCTCACAACATTTCCATTACCTCACACTTGTAACATCGTTTATGTTTCATTCCTACTTCTCAAGTGCGTGTGCTTGAGGCATTCTGTCATCTTGGACTTAAGTGATTTCAAAGCTGCTGTATTGTACTGTGTCTTTGGTGCGTTGGTCTGTGTGTAAGGGGAGGGTTTTTCAAGTTATTTGCGTGATGATATGGGAGCAATATAAAAAGTTTTGGTGAAACACGGTACTGTGGTAAGTCTTTTTGTAGCGAGGATAATTGACTATTCACGAATTAGAAAGAGCAGTGTCACATGTGCGACGTTTAGCTCTTGCGTGGCCATTTTAAACCTTTAAAGCCGAGAGGGAAGTACGTGTATCACCTGTTTTAGCAGTCAATAAGTCTTTATTCTTTCTGTTTATGGGTTTAGTACGACTCTTTGAATGTACAAAGATTATTTCCTTAAACAGCATTCACAAGTTGATCTTTTTAATGGGGAAGTGTTTTCTTTGAGGTTAAACGACAACTAAAATTTATAGTGTTATATTTTCTTAGTTGTTTTATAAGCTGTATACTACAGATTACTGATTCGTCTAAGCAAATTCTGGAAAACTGTATCTATCCGAATGTTCCACCCAATTCCCTTAGTATTGGCATAAAGCAAACTTACCTTAAACGAGCACATGAAAACCATCATAAAACGAGTAATTCCTATATTAATTGAAATCCAAAGCTTGGATTATGCTATGATCATACAGATACTATTCAAAGATACCAAGAAAGAAATCAGTATTCATGAAAATTTATTAGTTTTCATGTAATTCCGGAGTTTATAATTTATTGGTAGTACATTGCTGTCCGATTTACTTATATGTATGATGTGCATGAAGAATGCACAAAATAAAATTATCAAAGTACATAAGGAAGAAGAACGTCGCTATTTGCCAGCATGTGCAAACCAAGCTGCTTGCTTAGGCAATGAGACCGTCACGAGTTAATTTAAGTAAACACGTGAGTACGTCACGTGTGACAAAAATTTATGCATGTGGCTGGTAAATTACTTTCCATGTTAGCTAGAATAAAACGTTGATATTTTAGCAAGCTTTCTGTTACATGCTGTGTTTGGCTAAACGCCGATAGACAACCTGGCAGTTACAATGACTCGCACTGTCCTTTCGGGTTCAAATAAATTGAGATGATTATATTGGTTAACTGCATGTTGGTAAAACCTCAAATAAATCTACGTAATTAAATTATTTGAGTTTGGACTGAGAAAAGGACTATCTATGTGCATAAATCTGGCGTCAAAGATACAGAAAGATTGGATTTTCAGATTAAGTATTTAAATTGTATCGTCTGTTCGAATCCAGAAGCTTGACATTTTGATGAGTTTCTCGAAAACCCTCTGCATTTACACTTGAAATTTAAACAGTTACTAATTTGAATTTGGTACATAAAGCTTACAACTTGCATAGGAGAATTTGTTGCATAAAAGTGACGATCGTTTCTTTATATCTTCACTTTATCAAAAATTGTTCAACAGAAAATATACGTTCAATGATAGAAACTTGGATGGACTATTTTAATACTAGTATGCCAATATATTGCCGTTTTATTTTAGTTCAATATTCCGCACATTCTAACCATCAAATACCACTTATTATAAACGGAAATATCGTGTCCTACATGTTTTACTCAGGCATCTACAGGGGATCTAATATTCGCATTACACTACAGAAGTCATCAAACGTTTTCATTTACATTTTGCAATAAGTTACTAAAAGTCTGTATTTTCAGTTTTACAATTTATAAATTGCAAGTGTGTTAAATTATAAATTATACTTGTGATTCAGTGTATAAAGTACCACTGAACTACCAAAACCATACACAAAACATTTTTATTTTTCGTTTTTCAAAGTGTTAGACAGGCTAACACGGTAAATATGAATGTTCTACCAATGGGTGCATATGGACTTTTGTTATTAAGTTTTGTTGCTACAACAAACAGGCGATATTATAATCTAGTAGTATTTTAAAATTAGATTGTATCTTCCTAATACAAATATCACATATCTGGCACCAAAATAATTTATCTGGAGGCCATGGAAAATAAACATTGAGAATTCAGTGATTAGAAAAAATATAAATTCTCTTCATGGCTGACGTCAGCCAAGACCAGTGAAGTATCAACATACCTTGATCACAGAGAATTCCGCCCCAGTTCGTGTCACAGATGCACTGCCAAGAAGATCCATTGCAATATCCGTGCTTGCAGCCTGGATATGGCGTGCACTGATCACAGAATTCACCTCGCCAGCCCGGACGACACCTGAAACGAAGAAAATCTAATTTACTCTCCTTAAAGACTCAGCCAATTCAGGAGCCATGTGCTTTTCAACCCCACAGGTTGGAGTAAGAGTTGACCAGAAATATATGGGAACTTCAAGTGCCGTTGTAATTAACAAATGAATGGACAAACGTGCCATGCTAGTTACGATGCAGAACTCTTACACTTAGGTAGTTAGGAAAAGTAAATTTACCTGCCTGAAATTATAATATCCACTGATATTTCCTATGAGAACACTTGAAACTTAAAGTGTCATGGCGTACTTCTGAGTCGATCTCGGTGGTCAGTGGTCTTTATTTTGTTAATTTTTGGTTCAACGGATTCAGTAAAATTCCTTAAAAGCTGACAAATATAAGCAGACATACATGTGCTGTAGATTAAGCTTATTAACTATAAAATTCGGCTCCATGAATCCCAAATAAGTTCTGGGAAGTGCTAATAACATTTACGTCCGTTCAAGAGTTATAATTTGGTAATTAAACAATTTAGTGAGTTATGAGCATCATACCTGCTAGCTCAAATTCTAATTACATCAAATTGCTCAGATATAACCTCAAATCTTGAAACTGCTAAAGCCTAAAAAAATATTATAACGAATTTGTAGCAATGTTTACGATGTGCCCATGAGAAGTTTCGCATGCCTAATTCCCCCTAAAAAAATATTATACAGAATTTGTAGCAATGTTTACGATGTGTCCATGAGAAGTTTCGCATGCCTAATTCCCGATGGTTTGTTAGTTCTTGTTATCAAATGGAAAGATAAATGCGCAGCCCCCGAAAAAGCTGCTTATTTTTCGAAGATGTTTTACCACCCGAAATTGTTTACATTAAGTGGTACTAGATTTTATCTCACCTCGGGTGTCCACACAGCCGATAGATTGAAAAATTAGACTGCAGGAATTTTAAAAAAAGAACTTTTAAAGATATGACCTAACACCAAATTTAATGAAAATCTTTAAATTGGTTCAGAATTTATTACGAATACATATATTCACACGACCATAACAGAGTTCAATGCACCTTATAAAATAAAGCTAACAGGCTAATTAAATTAAAAAGTTCAGGCCTGGGTATATAGGCTATTAAACCAGAGGTCTTTCTTGTTTCCCTCCAACTCGAGAAGAAAAATAAACCCTGTCTCTCATTTTCTTTTAGTGAGAGCAATGCTTACTTTGTAAAGTAAGAGACCTGTTATGTTAAATCTAAAGAAGGCATTCATTTATCGACGTTATTAAAGTCGCTGCATTGAAACGGCTTTCGTGTCTGGAAACAATTGCAATCCTGCGCAGAATGTTAATTTCTGCTGGTATCCAGAGCGTGGTCTCGCTGCAAACCATGACAGAGTGTTTTTGTAATAGCGTGCAATTAGTCTGTAATAAAACGATGCACAGTTCAAAGTCACATTCTGTACCTTACGGCCATGTTGTCTAAGTTGACTGTAAACACAGCGCAGATATTTATCGCACGAGCTCAAAATATACAAGCAACTAAATACACACCAAGTTGTGAATTAAAATAATGTTGCTGAGGAAGTGTTTTGAATGAACGGGTACAGTCAGGAATTTGTGAATGGATGGCAGATGTAACAGTTATCAATCCTTATATCAGTTTTCACGCGGCCCTCTGTCAAATAAACTATAGATAGTAAATATTCAAATAATAGACCGGGTTACTATTTATAATTTATGTCATAATATCTGGCTACAGTTTTGCCGTATTGTCGGCTATTCTATTAAGAAGGCACGTCTCTCTCTTCGTCAAAAATTCGTGATGACCATGATATATCAACCGCCAAGCAATCACACCGCAACACTAGAAATTGATTACGGCCTCAAACAATCTGTTTCATCAGTCTCGGAATAAAAATAAAATAAAACAAAAATCACGTCTCATCATTCAGTCAGAGCTCTGTAATTAAAGTCACAAACGTAAGAAACACATTCTCATTTAATAATTCTTAACATTAAAAATGAGTTAATTACACATTATAATTGCTTTAAAATACGTCTCCCTTTAAACAACATAACTCCATTAACGTTTATTAATAAACGCTGACACCTTCAAAATTAACGCCGTAATGTCGATGAGTTTCTTTATTTGAATTTCTTGTCCTTGCAGTGATTTCGATTTGTTTATTTTTGATGCCGAAGCTCATCCAAATACCCGAAAGATAACATTACTTCATTACGAAGATGAGATTCTTCGTTCTGTTTAATGACATAATCCCTGGTTTACATTAGGAATCATACGAAACCAATAAATACAAAATGCAGCGTTACTGGTCATTAAAGCTGGTGGTGCATTTAGTTGTCATTGGGCTTTGAAGATTTGATGAAACAAAATAATATCGTTAATATGTGGAAACCGCATCTGAAAAATTTTCTGCTATTTTTTAAAAACGTAATTACGTGATCCAGGAACTGATTTCAGGTACCACAGAAAGCGTGTTTTTCTTCATTCTTAGCATACTGCTGAGCTGGGTTCTATGGGTTTTGATCCTGTAGGCACAAACAACATTCGAGATGCCGGTAAGGTTAGGTTAGCAACGGGTTGGGGAACAGGAATTCGATTCCTGACAGGGGCATTTGAAATTTCGTCATGACCGGAAATGCTGTCTTTTTTATAAAGGTGGTCGCAATATCAAGGTGACAGCCAAACTGCATCTTTAACCAAGTTCCAGAAAGCGTGTAGCTTTATGTCGATGGCCAGTTTAACTACACAGTAGCTAGAATGAAATGTAATCGCTTATGGATTGTTTCTTTGAATCCGATGCTTTATAAAAATTTTAAAGTTGCTGTTTATGAAACTTACTTCTATACTTCACTGCAGGTGGGTACTGTGCAGTGAAATTCACGTGAGATATGTTAAAATGTCTTTTATTGGTATACTTTTCCAGTGGTTTCATGTATCACTGCTCGGTGTGAGACCTGGATCATATTTAGAGGGTGAATATTTACATATTCCGTCCCTCATCGCGTAATTTTTAAGCCGTAAAATGTCTTCAGTAGACGTGACTTTTTCTTTCCACTAAAAGTTATTTATAAACGAGGTATTTTGTGACTAGGAAACTAACATGTTTGTCAGCAGGATAGATAAATTCTAATGCATGCGATAAAATGCAGATATTTAAGTTAATTATTAAAATATTCTCCCACAATAAAATGGTGGTAGTTTTCAGAATCTTATTCTACGCAATTTACAGATCAAATATAAAACACTGGCACAGCATAATTTGTTTTTTCATTCCAAGACCTTGACTGTTTTATCTTTTCTGGATATCACCGAGGTGACGGGCAGAATTCCTCTTATTGACAAAATTAGCTACGTAGTTACTAAAACGAAGTTCTGCGAAATTCTCACTTTGAATTCAATTTTTTTACCATAACACATGGAACACGTGACTTCTACTGGAAAAACATTAAATCTTTATAACGCGACGTAAATAGTTGCCCCTTGTCAGGCGTTGCAGGTGTACAATGTTAAAAAAGCAAGTGAAATATTCTGTAACTCTGCCAAAGAATATAACGCTGTCGAAAAGACTGCTTTATAACACCTGATAATTTGAACTGGTTTTAAGCGAAAATTGTAGTATTACAAAGTACTTGCGAATCTAGTTGTAGCATGTCAAGCATGTCAGGCAAACAGTTCAAGTTCCGGGTTGAGAGGAGTTGGTGCCGACCCCGTGGGAACCTGAGGGCAGCGCCCTGGAAGTTTGCCTGCAGGCTCTGAACAATGAGAGAACGTACATCCTCACGAATCACCCTGTTCGGATACCGAATACAAAACACTTGACGGTGCTGTGATCAGTGGCGGAGCTTTATGTCGTATCGCTTCCAGAACACGTCATATATATTGAATAAAAATCACATTCTCTAACGCAATCAGAAATGCAATTCTGAGACTCAGTACTGTGCTCTTACGATGAACAAATTTCTCTGTGTTGAACACTGTTGCGTATTGGTTAGCATTCCTAGTCTCGAGTTCGAATGTTAATCTGGAGACCGACTGTCGTGGTTGAGGAAAAGTGAATATGTCTTCTGGGTTGTTGCGCCGTCTACCGACGTTTCAGAGGTACTTGCTGCCTCCATAAGTAGTGTGATCGCCCTAGTGATCTCATGAGGTATCAATGGTTTTCATCAAGTCTTCCAGGCAAACACTCAACACTACAATAACGTCAGCAATAGATGTTTCCTTCCCAGTTAATCACACATTCCTTATCATCCTAACATTAGTCTAAACGCTGTAAAATCTACGCAGAAATGCTGACACAAACATACTCTGGTATCAGCTATAAATTAGCAGCTACTAAACAACACTGTAGACTGTGAGGTTCTCATGGCGGGAAACTATGAAGATGGCTGTGTTACGGAATGTAGCGCCGTGCAGTCTGATACTCAGAGGACCCTGCTGCCTCTATCATCAGAGTCATAATGGAGACAGTAAGCTTGAAACGTCAATCAGTGTTTACCAGACTACACGGTGCTACATCCCGGAAGATAGCCATCTTCAGCACTGTAGCAGGTTATTTAACGACGTTGTGTAATCTGAAAATGTAGATTATCACGAATAGAAAGCGAAAATGACCATGAATTTTAATCTGAAGGGATACGGTTGAAACGTCCGTGACGTGTTTTAAGGTACTCTCCTAGAAATGGTCTTCGTGGGGCCATTAGGATAGTCGTTCCAGAATCAGGACAAGAGATAGGTTCATCGGAATGCAGGATAGAATCACTGCAGTTGAACAGTCTGTGTACTGCCATTCAATGAGTGTTGGACAAACTACCACTGATTTTACTGCCGATCATTTCACCGATGCTTCTATATCTTGCAGTGTGAGAGGACTGTCAGAGTAACACGTTGAAAGCGTCCTACAACCTGCCGCTAGACGGGGCTCGGAGCAACAATGTTCTTCCTCTCGTACCACAGCTCAGGTTCTCAACGCGGTGGCCCAGGTTCGAGCAAAGTGGACAAAGTTTCACAGG